GGTGGTGGTCGTGGTGGTCGTGGTGGTCGTGGTGGTCGTGGTGGTCGTGGTGGTCGTGGTGGTCGTGGTGGTCGTGGGGTCGTGGTGGTCGTGGTGGTCGTGGTGGTCGTGGTGGTCGTGGTGGTCGTGGTGGTCGTGGTGGTCGTGGTGGTCGTGGTGGTCGTGGTGGTCGTGGTGGTCGTGGTGGTCGTGGTGGTCGTGGTGGTCGTGGTGGTCGTGGTGGTCGTGGTGGTCGTGGTGGTCGTGGTGGTCGTGGTGGTCGTGGTGGTCGTGTGGTGGTCGTGGTGGTCGTGGTGGTCGTGGTGTGGTCGTGGTGGTCGTGGTGGTCGTGGTTGGTCGTGGTGGTCGTGGTGGTCGTGGTGGTCGTGGTGTCGTGGTGCGTGGTCGTGGTGGTCGTGGTGGTCGTGGTGGTCGTGGTGGTCGTGGTGGTCGTGGTGGTCGTGGTTGGTCGTGGTTGTGGTGGTGGTTGTGGTGGTGCCGTGCTGCTGCTAGCATTGGCGGTGCTGCTGCTGCCGCTGGTGCTGGTTGCGGTGGTGGGGGTGGAGGTGCTGCCTGCTGCTTGCTGCTGCTAGTTTCCCAACTTACTCTGCTGCTCCTCTCTGCCTCCCGATCCTCTCCCCACCACCACTCCCGTTCCCCCAAACCCTTAACCCCTCTCTCTCCTCAATCCATATAGGCGACTGGCTTCGGCTACTTGCTGCACCATCTGGGCATGACTCCTCGATCATGGGAGAAATGAGTGTCAGGGAGGCGAGGTCTCGGTCATGGGTCCATTGCTCCTCAATCTCGAGCTAACCTCCGCACTTCCTCTCCTCTCCTCCTCCTCCTCTGTCCCTCCCCACACCTTCGTTTCCTCCCCTTCCCCTCCCTGCTTTCCCACGTCTTCAATGCAGCCATATATGCGAATGACTTTGGGTGCTCGCTGCGGCATCTGGGCATGGGGGAGAGCGTGAGGGAGGCGAGGTCGTGGGTGTATGGCTTTAAGTACATTGTGTGCGACCGGCCCTTCTCAACCGTCATCAGCCACTTGGCAACGGGCCTTCAGGTGACGTGATGACGAGAGTGTTCGCTGTGTTATACAGGCATGGGGTTGAAAGGAAGGAGAGTGTGAAGGAGGCGAGGTCATGGGTGTATGAATTTTCCTCCGTTGCGTGCGACCAACCCCCTCCACAACTGCTAACCACTTGGCTACGGGCCTTGAGGTGACAATGGGGATGGGGGGAAGGTGAGAGAGCGTCAGGGAGGCAAGGTCATAGCTGTATGAATTTTTCTACGTTGTGTGCGACCAACCCTTCTCTGCCCACATGTCAACGGTCCTTCAGGTGACGATGATGCTGTTTGCTCGATATCTGGGGATGGGGGAGCGGAATGCCAGGTATCACAGCAAATGCCTTATCCTACCTCAGGGTTTTTCTGAAGTATCAGTATTACAAGAGCGTTTAAGAAGGTACAAGTGCTCAGCAATACAAATATCAGGTTATCAACTTGTAATGCTGGCAGTGCGTGCCTTTACTTGGTCAAAATGGAAGTTTTCAGGGCTTTCTCCTTTGTTTTGTTCCTTCTTATTCTTTCAGGTGAAGTGCAATTGGCCTGTCGCCTCCATAACTTATGGCGCCAACAGCAGCGTGTTCGCAAATCCTACTGCACCCATCTACACCGCACCCAGCGCTGCACTGGCAGCCCCCAGTGGCGTCATCACAGTGACCAGCAAGCACGGCGAGCAGCTTCAGGCAAAGCGAGTTGTCATCACTGTCCCTCTGGTAGGTGGTCCCTTGCGTATCCTGCTCCACCCATCTCTACCACACCCACACTGAAGCCCCCACTGGCGTCATCACAGTGTCAGTGACCAGCCAGCACGGCGAGCAGCTTCAGGCAAAGCGAGTTGTCATCACTGTCCCTCTGGTGGGTGCCGTGCCCCTCCTGACTGACTGCCCTCTCATGGTTTCTCCTAGTGAGTCCTCCCCGTGAATGCATCTCGTGGCTGTCTGTCTCCTGTAAGGGTCTCTGAGTGCCCATTGGCCAGTCTCAAGGTTGGGCCGCTGATCGATTTCCTTAGAGGGTTGGTGCTCGAAGCAGTGCTTTGCTCTTCAGAGGTTGGGTTGCGTGCTCCAAGCAGTGCTTTGCTCTTCAGAGGTTGGGTTGCGTGCTCTTTGCTGCAAGGAACACACTTTCTGCATCACACTCTTCCGATCAATGCCCGTTGCTTCACTTGATTTTTCATGCCACCCAACCGTTGCTCATGCCATTAAAACGCACTCCACTGCTTTCCCACATTCCTTCTCCCCCACTCCCCTTCTCCCCCACTCCCCTTCTCCCCCACTCCCCTTCTCCCCCACTCCCCTTCTTCCCCACTCCACTTCTCACCCACTTCCCTTCTCTCTCGTTCCCTTTCTCCTATACTATCCTAACTTCTCTCACCCACCCCTCTCCACCGCTCTGCACCACCAGCCTGTGCTGCAAGCGGGGGATATCCACTTTGACCCGCCTCTCCCAGCACCCAAGCAGCGAGCAATAGGAGCCGTGCGCATGGGGTGTGCTGTGAAGGTGAGGGGTGTAGTTGATGTGGGATGGTGGGAGATGCAAGTGAGGGGAATGAGAGGGGCATCCACCCAAACATTGGGCGATAGGAGCCGTGCGCATGGGGTGTGCTGTGAAGGTGAGAGTAAGTGAGACGTATGTGTAGGCTTGTGGGCAAGCAGCGGGTGATAGGAGCCGTGCGCATGGGGTGTGCTGTGCGGTGAAGGTGCGGTCACGGTGGAGTAGGATGGCAAGAAAGGGAGGCATATGTAATGCGAGAAAGGGAGGCATATGTAATGCGAGAAAGGGAGGCATATGTAATGCGAGAAAGGGAGGCATATGTAATGCGAGAAAGGGAGGCATATGTAATGCGAATAGAATATATGCGATGCGGGAAAGTAGGAGAGTGTGGCATGGGGTGTGCTATGAATGTGAGAAGGGTACAATAGGCGCGAGGGGTGTGATTGGAGCTGTGTGCATGGGGGGTGCAGTGAAGGTGCAAGGGGTGCAGTGAAGGTGCAAGGGGTGCAGTGAAGGTTAGAGTCAGGTGGGAGTGTTATGTGCTGTGCGGGATTTGATAGGTGTGGGATGCATGCGGCCAAGCAGCGGGCCTTTGGAGCTGTGTGCATGGGGTGTGCTGTGAAGGTGACAGTAGGATGGATCACGATGGGATAGAGTCACGTGAGGGGCATGTGAGGGGCATGTGAGGGGTATGTGAGGGGCATGTGAGGGGCATGTGAGGGGCATGTGAGGGGCATGTGAGGGGCATGTGAGGGGCATGTGAGGGGCATGTGAGGGGCATGTGAGGGGCATGTGAGGGGCATGTGAGGGGCATGTGAAGGGCATGTGAGGGGCATGTGAGGGGCATGTGAGGGGCATGTGAGGGGCATGTGAGGGGCATGTGAGGGGCATGTGAGGGGCATGTGAGGGGCATGTGAGGGGCATGTGAGGGGCATGTGAGGGGCATGTGAGGGGCATGTGAAGGGCATGTGAGGGGCATGTGAGGGGCATGTGAGGGGCATGTGAGGGGCATGTGAGGGGTATGTGAGGGGCATGTGAGGGGCATGTGAAGGGCATGTGAGGGGCATGTGAGGGGCATGTGAGGGGCATGTGAGGGGCATGTGAGGGGCATGTGAGGGGCATGTGAGGGGCATGTGAGGGGCATGTGAGGGGCATGTGAGGGGCATGTGAGGGGTATGTGAGGGGCATGTGAGGGGCATGTGAAGGGCATGTGAGGGGCATGTGAGGGGCATGTGAGGGGCATGTGAGGGGCATGTGAGGGGCATGTGAGGGGTATGTGAGGGGCATGTGAGGGGCATGTGAAGGGCATGTGAGGGGCATGTGAGGGGCATGTGAGGGGCATGTGAGGGGCATGTGAAGGGCATGTGAGGGGCATGTGAGGGGCATGTGAGGGGCATGTGAGGGGCATGTGAGGGGCATGTGAGGGGCATGTGAGGGGCATGTGAGGGGCATGTGAAGGGCACGTAGCCAAGCAAGGAGGGTTTCATCAGATGTCCCTGGGCAACAGATGTCCCTGGGCGACATATTTGCACATTGAAACGAGACGAAAACATGGTGAGGGATGAGGGATATTTTGAGACGTCTCATAATATCACTTCTATCACGTGGTTTCATCAGATGTCCCTGGGCGACAGATTTTCACATTGAAACGAGACAAAAACACGGTGACGGATGAGGGATGCATGACCAGGGGTGAAAATTGTCTGCGAGAGATTGTCAGGAGGCTTATGAGCAGGGTGTGTGACAACCATGCAAGCATCCTTCCTTGGATCGCACCCCTCCCTCCTCCCTGCTTCTCGACTACTTTCTTTCTCTTATATTACCCCACTCTTCTCTTCTTCCCTTTCGGCCCATCTCCGCTTCTCACTTTCTCTCGTTTCTTCACTCCGTTTCTCTTCCCTCACCGCCCTCCTCCTCCAGGTGCTAATGGCCTTCTCTCACCGTGTGTGGCCGGCCCATCTCTTTGACATCGTCTGCACCGACTCCTTCCTGCCTGAAGTCTGGTTCACCCGCCGCTCGCCCTCCTCCCCCACCTCCTCCTCCTCCACCCCTTCTGCGCCTATCACTGCAGCTGTCCCCCCTCCCACTGTCCCATGGGTCAGTTCCTTGCAGTCGGCTTTGCAGCAGGCGATGCAGCAGAAGCCATGGCGAGCCTGCCGCCGCAAGTGGTGCTTTCCCGCGCTCTGGAGCAGCTAGATGCCATGTTTCGCCGCCCATGCTCCACTTGCAAACCAGGGCCTGACAGTGTCAGGGTGACAGAGACCTGCCCGGAACAGACTTGTGGAAATGACACGAGCGGGTCGTGTTGTGGCTGCAAGGAGCATAGACTGCAGCTACAGGCGCTGCCAAATGCTGCTTCTGATGATAGTGTTGGCACCTTTGTCGTGCCGGCAGCGTTAATAAAACCACCCAGCTGCAGCAGGAGCAGCATGGGCAGCTCGTTCCCTGCTGCTGCTACCTCTCCTCTCTGCACCTCCTGCCGCCCAGCTTCTGCATGCTTCGTTTCAGGCTGCTTCGCTGACTGGTCCAAGGACATCTATATCCGTGGCGCCTACACCCATCCAACGATTGGAGCAGGGGATGCAAGGGATCAGCTGGCGGTGCCGGTGGCTGGGAAGCTCTTCTTTGCTGGGGAGGCCACGCACTTTGGTGTGAACCCGTGTATGCAGGGGGCGCTGGACACTGGTACCAGAGTGGCTAATGAAGTGTTCTGGTCGCTTCAGGAGAGCAGGTTATAGGTTGATTACCATTCCATGATTACTGACAGCATCTGTGCCTGCAGGCAGGCAGGATGTTTAAGATCATCAATGAAGCGTTTTGGGAGCTTAGTGAATGCAGGCTCGGCCATGAGCATTGAGTAAGGGTGCGTTCCTGCGGAGACATTTGTGTCACAAACCCAATTTTTACCTTAGTACCGCTCTGTACCGAATCAAACCGCTTTGAACAGAGCGGTACCTTGGCGAAAATTGGGTTTGTGACACAAATGTCCCCACAGGAACGCACCCTAAGGGTTCACTTGTATCCCGTGTCAGACCTTAGGTTTGACATGGAGTGGAGGTTTCAGAAGACTGACTCATTTGTGGGGCGACTGGGAAGTTTGGAGAGACAAAATTTTGACTAATGGCTCATGACTTCATGTTTGACACGCGATAAGAGTGTACCCAACGTTACCGTACTTCAACTGTATTATAGCATTGAGATTGGACAGTTCATTGTCTGAAATATATAAGAATTCGGCAAGGACGCTGGCGCGGAACAAAGGTTATTCTGCGAACTCTTTGCTTTCTTTGCCAAGTTTCAAGATAGAAAAGGTTGAATTTTAGAAAATTTCATTAATATTATGCACACTGCTTTACATCCAGTTCTAGGGACCGGACTTTAACCCAGCTCAATAGAACACAGACTGCAATCACCACAGGGGAAAAAAAAAAAAAACGTTAGGGGAGTGAACTAATGTAAGAAAGAGTGTACGATTGCAATAATACCGCAAGTGAACTGCTCACCATGGCGTTGTGCGCGAAGTTGTTGAAGCCGGGGTTCTCGAGGTGGTTCAACAGGTTCTCGACGGGGCTGGCATCGGTGTAAGCAGCCTGGGCCCAAAAGCCAAGGTTAGCAAGCATAGCCAATCGGCCGTTCCTGATCTCCTTGGAGCGGATCTCCTTCACGTAAGCGGGTGAACCGAAGCCCATGCCGAGGGGGTCGAAGCCGGGGTAGCCAACATCGGTACCCTTCACCTTGTTGCCCTTGAAGATGGGGTCCTCGCTGCAAACGGCAAATAATAACCGTTAGCAACCAGCACTCCGGCGGAAATTTCCAACAGTGGAAAACCAAGTAAAACCATGCAGCCAGGCTTACCTCACGGATCCAGGCTTGATGATGTCAGCCCAGCGGTTGCCCTCAGCCCAGCCGAAAGCGGCGATCTCAACAGCCAGCAGCACACGCCAGTCAATGCCGTAGTCGGCGACGCCCGCGATGTCCCAGCGGGGAATGTCGAGGAGACCAGCAACGCGGAGAGCGTCGGGGATCAGAACGCCAGCGGCACCGAGCATGGCCCAGCGGCAGTGGACGAGCTCAGCCTGGACGTACCAGTTGACATCGTCGGAGGCTGCAGGAGAATGGGAGAAAATGGAAGATATATAAGCACATGAATAATTAAACAATCCGAAAAAATATAACTAAACCTATGCTTGAACAATTTCGTGAAGGGATCGAGTGCAGGAAATATGTAACTAAACCAAGTGCAGGAATAAGAGACTAACCAAGGCCAAGGGGATCGAAGCCGAAGTCAGCAGCATAGGTGCCGTCAAGGTGAGCGGGAGGGGTGCTGCCAGGGAACCACAGGGGCCTGTCGGCATCTGCGGAGACGCTGAATGCAACCTTCTGGGGAGCAGCAGCGACCTTGACGGAGCGAACCTTCTTGCCGGAGAAGGCAGACTTGCTCACGACGGAGCTAGCAACAGCCGCAACGGTGTGGGAGGCGACGACGGCAGCCATGGCTTCTGATGCAGTGTACAGCAGGGGAAGCTGGGGTACACTGAAAGTTGGGTTGGGTTCGTCAACGACTCCAAGATTGGGGGTTGCAAGGAGAGGTAATTCAGGAGGTCTGAGGATCAGGGAGGGCTAGCCGTGTCGCGGCGAATGGTCACACGGGGGCAGCCCAGGAGATCCATCGCTAGCGTCAGGATCGAATGGGAGAAATCGGCGAGCAGATAATGTGCCAGCTCGACCAATGCGAGGGCTCGCTGGGGTTCGCCCCGACAATCCGCAACCAAGAAAGTTGAGCAGGTCAGTCCCCTCCAGATATGCGAGGGTTCGCCAACCACAACGATTGTCACGGAAACGAGGGATGACTCAGCACATTAAAGGATTTATCAAAGTGTACACCGCTCCAAGAGCTTTCAAGATATATCATTATGTCAAATACTTGATCTCAACACGCAGCACACAAGGAACAAGTACTTACGGTATGAGTGTTAAATGCTTCCAAACACATCTTTATTTGAATGTAACAACCAGCGTTCATAGTATTATACAATAAGCTTAAGATTTTACTAAATACGGTATTCATTGAGTTGTGACATAAATTATACAAAGTATGTCATATACCACACATCACATTACTTTTCCTCCACCAATTTATGTACCTCTGTGACTTTAAGGAATAACGCATTATCAATCATGGGGTTCATTGTTGTCATGCAATATCTCTGCTTCAATTTTGTCTTACTGTAGGTACTGTCTGAATTCCAGCCACTAACCACTGGGATAAAAGGGCTTGTTTGTGTAGCGGGTGAGTGCGCCCATAACCCCCCAGACCAACGTGCCTGTAACCCTTCCCTATGATCAATCGGGGATCTCCAGTGGACCTCTGACAGTTACGTTACCGGTATGCAAAAGCTTTTCGCAACGAGACGAGGCTATTCGAAATGGAACCATATCCACCACACAAATTCCATTATTGCATGTTTTCGAGATTGTGGCACATGAAGGTGTGAAAAAGTGTGTTGGGGTAGTATTGCCCTGCGTGTATAGCTTTTTGCAAGATATGTATATGATTGTACGGTACCGCACTTCAGGTCTGTATCCCCTTAACCAGCAATGCCTTGCTGAGATGGCCATTGGTCCAACCATTCTGATTCAAACCAGAGATACCCTGATGCCTTCTCATGCTGCGTATATCCAGGATTGGCAACAGAAGAATCTTTGCTGGTTATCTTTCATGATCCACAATAGTCCAACCATGCCTTGAACATTTAGGGCGTTTCTCAATTGAGCAAGTCCACGTGGGTCCGACGCGGACTCGACGGGCCAGCTCTAGAACCAACACTTGAACCAGCGACGGACTGGACCTGTATGCGGGTGATTTAACCCCGTTATTAAGTTCGAAAGGCACTACAACGGTGCCATTGATATGGTTGGCAGACCAGTCCGTGGCTGGTCTGAAAACTGTAGCAGCTCCCAGTTTGAGTTGCGAAAATTCTCGTCGTTAGTTATTTTTGCACTCTACAGGATGGAAAAAATTACATGGCAGAGAAATAAGGTGACTTGATTTCAACATGCTTTTCACAAAATCTCTACAGCCCGTGAAGCGATGTATCATGTGGACCAGTCCGTGTGTGTTCCACGCCTGGTCCGTAAAAATGGTCCGTCGGACCAGAATTCTTGACCAGTCGTGCATATTCTAGTAGCGGACCGGATCGGGGCAGACCAGTCACGTGAGACACTCTCTTAGGAACATTCCTGTGTTGACATTTGTGTCTCAATGCCCTTTTTCCCGAGTCGCGTCTGTAAATTTGCCTAATCACAAGCAGCTGATGTATCGCGACATTGTGCGACTGATTGAGGGGTCCAGTTGGTCGATTTTTATTGGCTCACACCATTTGATTCGAGCTTGGGGGTTTTGGCGCCGGGCAAAGCTGCAAAAACTTGGTGCGTAAAACGAGCCCATTAAAGCGGGTCACAATAACGAAGCATGCAAGTCCTGTGCTACGAGTTGGTTAGGAACAACACGCACAAGTGCAAAGCATAGGCACATGTACAAGTGCGCACAGCAAGCAAAGCACATACAAGCAGCAGGTATAACTGCAAATGCAACCATGGCAGAGTCTCGTGCTGTGCATTTCCTCATGCGACTGCTAGTCGCACGGATCACGTTCCACTACTCTATTTTTTTTTTACGTGGTCGCTAAGGCGATCGACGGCTTGCTGGAAGCCGATGTGTTCGCCGATGATATATCCACGTCGTCTAGCTCATACAGCTCCGACAGGACGGCCGAGCGGACGAGAAGTGCAAGCATGCGCCGTCGTCGGTACGAGCTGTTGCTCGAGGACCTGCACGGCATGGGAGACACCGAATTCAGAGACCTCTTCCGAGTTAATCGGGACATTCTGGAATACATCGCCAACGGCATGCGATGCTACATGCAGCCGTACGTGGAGAAGAACTACCTCACCCACGAGGTCGCGAGTTTGGTAGCTATAAAGTACCTTGCGAGTGGAATGTCGTACGTGGACCTCGCTCACCTTTTCGGCGTGTCGAAGACCCTGTGTCATGCGCTCGTGGACGTGTGGCTCATGCATTTCCCGTCGGTCTTCAAGCCGAAGTGGGTCCACTTCCTGACCCGCGAGGATCTTAACGAGATGGCCGATGAATTCCGCGCCGTCAAAGGAGTACCTGCTATGGTTGGGGCTATAGATGGGATGCACATACACATAAAAGGCATGGAAGGGCTGTCAGAATAGCTAGGCAGGAATGATTGGATTGAACAGAATGTGAGTACAAATATGAAACCTTAATGGGGGCTATACCCCATATTGGCTACCCCACTACAGCCTACACATCAGCGTCACCAGCAGTAGCACCTCCAGAACCGACAGCTCCAGACCCAGGGTCTCCAGCAGCAGCACCCCCAGACGCAGCACCTCCAGCCCCAGCACCCCCTGAACCGGCACCCCCAGCACCAGGGACGGCAGCAGAAGCGCCTCCAGCAGCAGAGCCCCGAGCTCCAGCAGCGCGACCCTGACGGCGAGTGTACCACTCGTGCAGCTGCTGCGGGGAGAGAGGTGGACGCGGACGAAGGCGGCCACTCCAAGGAGACCGCGCACAAGCAGTCTCAGTACCCTCAGGCGCCGCACCCCAAGACTCAGCACCCCCCGGCTCCTCACGCTCAGACTCAGCACCCCCAGGCTCAGCACCCCCAGACGCAACACCCCTCAGGCGTAGCACCTCCAGTCTCTCCACACTCAGGCTCAGCACCGCCAGACGCAGCACCCCCAGGCTCCTCACGCTCAGGCTCAGCACCTCCAGACTCAGCACCCCCAGGCTCCTCACGCTCAGGCTCAGCACCCCCAGACGCAGCACCCCCAGGCGTAGTACCTCCAGGCTCCTCACGCTCAGGCCCAGCACCTCCAGGCCCCACACGCTCAGGCTCGGCAACCCCAGACTCAGCACCCCCAGGCTCAGCACCCCTAGGCTCCGCACGCTCAGGCTCAGCACCCCCAGACGCAGTACCCCGAGCAACCCCATCAGGACCTGAGTCAGCAGTGACGTCAACTTGCTCAGGCACAGGAGGGTCTACCTGAGAAACACGTGAAGGAGCAGGACCTGGCGCAGGGAGGGGGTCTACTTGGGGAGGACCTGGTGTCAAACATGGTTATTCTGACATGGTTTCAGAGCAGGTCCTTCGCTAGGACTGTTCTTAGGGCCCACCGTACGATACCTACCTACCTACCTACCTACCGGAGCGCGTTCTTAGCGTCTCCCCCGTAGCGCCCTCGCGAGCGTTGCCTTTTTTTTTTTTTTTTTTTTTCCCGGCCCCGCTGGCCCCGTCGATTGCGATCGCACCTACCGGCCCCGTTGGCCCTCTAGCGAACCGCCCGCGAACCGCCCGCGAACTGCCCGCGCGGCCTGCGCGCCGCCCGCGAACCGCCCGCGAACCGCCCGCGCGGCCTGCGCGCCGCCCGCGAACCGCCCGCGCGGCCTGCACGCCGCCCGCGAACCGCCCGCTACCCGCTGCCGGCCCGCACGCTGCTTGCGCGGCCCGCACGCAGCCTGCTGCCGGCCCGCCGCTGCCGCTCGTGCGCACCCGCAGCCGCCGCCGCACGCACCCGCTACCGGCCCGCCGCTGCCGCCCGTGCGCACCCGCAGCTGCCGCCGCACGCCCTCGCTGCCGGCCCGCCGCTACTGACTGTCCGCACCTGCAGCCGCCACCGCACGCCGCTACTGCCGGCCTACCACCGCAGCCCGTGCGCCCCTGCGACTCCTGCTAGTGCGTCTTTACAGCTACAGCGGCCCTACTCTGTCTACTACTGCTGCTACTGCTACTATCGCTATGGCTAGCCCTCCCGTTCTAGCTTTCGACGCCGAGGGCCGTCCAGTGAAGTTCGAAACCTGGCTCGATGACCTGCACCTGTTCCTACAGCTCACGGCCAAGGAGGATATTTCTCTGTACGACCATGCTCTCGGCCACGCTACTGCCCCTCTTACTACTGCTCCCCCCACTGAGCGCTCACAGTGGCAGACCCGTGACGCGCACGCTCGCTTCGCCATACGCAACTCCCTGCCGCTAGATGAGCGCGAGCACTTCGGCCAGTGCAAGACTGCTAAGGAACTGTACACCGCTGTCGTTGCCCGCTACTCCTCACCCGCTTCTGCCACGCTAGGCCGCCTCACTCTCCCCTACCTGTTCCCCGACCTGGCCTCCTTTCACACTGTCGCAGACCTCATCACCCACCTTAAGACTAGTGAGGCCCGCTTTCGCGCTGCCATGCCTGACGAGTTCCTCGCTAGCAACCCCCCCCCGCTCTGGATCACTCTCTACCACATCGTCACTCGCCTCCCTGACTCTCTGCGCGCAGTCAGGGACCACTTCCTCTCTCGCTCCCCCACCGAGCTCACCGTAGCCCTCCTCGAGAAGGAACTGCTTGCAGCTGAGGCCAGTATCGTCGCTGTAGGCACCTCTCGTGGCGACCCTCGCGGCCCCTTCTTTGAGGGG